GTTTCAACCTTTATAATAAGAATAAGGTGGTGGCGGCGGGGATGTCCTATGAAACAATTAAATAATGGTGTCATTAGGAACATGGTATGGGGAACTTCAGAAAACTGAATCAGAGCTTCAGCAGGCCAGAGCATGAAATTCTGTACCTGTTATATATCTAGCAGAGAAAAAAAATATTGCAATATAATTTTAGCAGAAAAATTAATATATGGCAGTGACAATATTTGTGCATGGAATAAATATCCTGCTACTGCTGCTACAACTAGCTAACATATAATCACCTTAGATATTGTGTATTACAAAGGCGGAAGAAGTCCAAATAGTTAGGTGAAGACGTTTGAAGCCAAACTTGACCATATACTATTTTATTCTTTTAAACTGAACAAGGGCACAGAGAGTTCCATGTACTCACCTGTTAAATAAACAAAGCTAATCTCTAGAATGAAAGGAAAAGAATCTTTGATATGATGTTATAAGCTCTTTTTGGCCCATTGTGGGGAGAGGCAGTACCTCAATAGCAGTGCACTCATATATCTTTAGTTAAAGACATTAGGTAGCAGGTGGCTTCTATATGAGATCCTGGGAAGCTGTTGCTAATTGGCTTAGGCAGTACTGGGCTAAATGGATAAACAGTTCCACTGCACTTGGTATTAAGAGACAGTCCTGTTCCATGTTGTAAAAAAGGGAGGAGACTACCACTTGCTGAAGGACTAGCACTACCTCTTATACATATCTTTCAACACAAGGCATGGTGAACCAGTGGCTCTCCAACTGTTGTTGAACTTCATCTCCCAATGAAGAGGACTGCAATTCAACAATATCTGAAGGGCCAAAAACTCTCTGTTCCTGACGTACTCTGAGATTCTGTGACTCTCCAGATTATAGCTGACAACTGGCTATGATGGATGGGAGCTTTAAGTTCAGTAACATCTAAAACAGCACAGGTTCCTCCATTCCATGGTAGATCTTGGCAAATCCAAGTAAAGTATGAATAAAAATTTACCAGTGCAAGGCTTTCAGAAAGAATGGGAAACAATAACTCTTGTACTGACCTATACTAAAACAAAGCAGCGTAAAGCTCAGAAAGCAAGATTTTATTGGGAAGCTTTTCTAATAGCAAACCATAAGTAGGAATGCCACACACTCCTCTACCTTCTCATATGAGAAGCCTGTGCCAAGCAAAAACAAAATCAACACATGATTTCCCTCTTCCTGAAATGTGATAATGGGAGAGCTTCAAATAATTAATCTCCCACTTGGCATACAAGTTCTTAAAGTCATAAGAGCCTACAGAATTCTAAAATGCCTGCCAACAGCAAATCTTTTTTTTTAAAAGGTCACACGTATGTGGCTTAAACAGTGCTTACTTAATTAAAGATTTTTAATGGGCTTGCTGCTTTCTTCTGGGCATTGTACATGTGTTTAAGTATTACAACCACCTGGAGGTTTGGGGGCTGGGTGAGATTAAAATATAAAGAAATACATATATGTTCCCAGCATAAACTGTTTCTTCAGGTATTATTAATTACTACTGCAATTTTTAAAAAGTGTAAAGAGCACCTTGTGATGTAGGAATGCTGATAATAAAGAGAAATAATTGGCCAGTATCTACAGTTCACACTCGAGAGGCAGGAACCAAGCAATTACATTCTGAACAAATGTGTGTTAATAGGATAAGGGGAAATTGGAAAAATTCTATTATACATACAAATTGATTTTTATAATAATTACATTTCTTACACAAGATACTGTAAGACTGAAAGTCCTATTTGCTCTTGAAAATTTTATTCCCCAGTTGGTACATGTTGTACCTGAAACTATAATTTACAGACACTAGAAATAACAATTACCTCATTATCTTTTGGGATTATTATCTGACTTTTATAGCACTTCACATGTTATCTTTTCAGTATACTACTTCCAAGCAGTCAGCTTCAGTTTCTCATTGGCCAAACAAGAAAATTTGAGTCCTCTAAAGATTGACAAATGTGGTATTTTACAATATCTTCTATCTATATCTATTCTCCATTGACATGCCATATATCCAGCTATTATCTAAGGTCCTCAACCTTTTTGACACCACAGACCGGTTGGGAGAGGAGGGGGTACATGTGCGGGGAAGGCGGGGCATCCCCTACGCTCAAGATCACGCACAAAGGGGCAGGGGGCACTTGCATAGGCACGCTCACACAAATGTGCAAAGGGGCAGGGGGCGCTCGTGCGGGACCAGACTGGCCATGGAATGGCACCAGGCCGCAGACCGGGGGGTTGGGAACTCCTGATCTAAACCACTGTCAAACGTGTCATCTGCATCATTCGTTAAGTAATCAGAGCTCAGGAAAACTGCATTTTTAAAGGACAAATACCAGAATCCCTAAGATGACATGGGTGAATCTAGTAGTTGTTTAGAACTTTGCTACAGCTACTTCCTGGCTGCTCTTCCAACCAACACCTTATTAGCTCATTCTCTCCACAGACCCTTTGATTTAATAGACTCAATACTCATGAGTATTCCATGGAAGCACCCTAGCTAGGTCAGGCTCATTTCACGAACATACCAAGTGGTTGCAGTCTATGGTCAGTAAGGTTTCAAACGCTAGTCATACTATACAACACTGTGAGGCAACTCTCTCAGGCAGCAGATTTTGGTGTTATGAAAGGGAAGGAAACTATTGAATTTGATGCTTCTTTATTTCACTGCCAGGGAAAGTGAAAGAGAGTAGGGTATTATTGTTTTTTTTTCTTAAATACCAAAATAATATGACTGGGTTTATCTATTCTATACCTTTACGTAAAGAAATGATGTGTGTTACTATTTGGTAATTTCCTCTGGTGAACCTTGAAAGTGGCTAAACACTCTGCTCCCCCCCACTTTGGGGGGGGCTTTTTGTGGATTTTAACTAATGTTGAATCTGTTATTCAACATCATGAGTCATCTCTCTATGCCACCGGTACTTCCAGATGGAGGCCTACTACTATTACACTCAAAAATACATTTATTTTATCTATTTATTTAAATTATTTTTACTCTACCTTTCTCCTTTAAAAAGATCCAATGTGGCTCACATCATTAAAAGACAATATTTAAAGGCTAAAAACGGTAAGTATACAAATATTTGAAAAAGAAGCAAACAAATATATTAAAAATGGTAAACAAAAGCAACACCAAAAATACATTCAAAAACAACAGGGCACAACAATCCATTAAAAAACCTTTTCAGGCAGCCAGTCACTAAAGAAGTCTGCCTGAAAAGTATTTGTCTGCCTGTGGAGGAACAGAAAAGGTGGGGCCAGCTGGCTTCCCACGGGGGGGGGGGGGGTTTCAGAGTCTGTGAACAGTCCCTTGTCCCCACCAAACATACCTGTGAAGGTGGTGGGACCAAGAGAAGGGCTTCCCCAATTATCTTAACACCCAGCCAAGTTCATAAAGGGCGATGTGGTCTTTTAGATAGCTTGGACTCAAACTGTTCAGGGATTTATAGGTTAAAACTGGCACTTTGAATTTTGCCCAGAAATGGTTCTGCAGCCAGTGGAGCAGCTGTAATAAGGTGGTTATATGATCCTTCTTATCAGTCCCAGTTAACAGTTTGGCTGCAGTGTTCTGGAGCTGCTGAAGTTTCCAAACTCTCTTCAAAGGCAGCCTCATGTAGTGTGTGTTACACTAATCCAACCAGGATGTAACTTAGGCAGCTGTCACTGTGACCAGATCAGACCTCTCCAGAAACTGGCACAACTGGTGTGCTAATTTTAACTGTTCAAATGCACTCTTGTTGACAACCAAAACTTGGGCATCCAGGCTCAGAAATGAACCCAGGCGCACCCCCAAGCTGCCCACCTGAGCTTTCAGAGGAAGTGTAACCCTACCCAGCACAGGCTGCATCCCTATTCATTGCTCTGCCTTTCAAATGACCACGAGCACCTCCGTCTTGTCAAGTCCATCACTGAGACCAGACACTGATCCAGGGCTGAAACAGCTTTCTTGGACTGAGATGGAAAAGAGACGAAGTTGGGTGTCACCTGCATACTGCTGAGACCAAAACTGCTGCTACCGTATGGCATCTCCCTCTCTCACGCCGCGCAAACGCCCTCTATCTGCTTGCCAACAGCAACAAACGCACAGTAATAACTTGCTCACCTTTGATGATTCCGAAAATCTGCCGATTACGCTGGGAAGCATTCCTACTATAAGCTAAATGACACTTTTTGAAAGCGGACACGTACGAAACGTATCATGTAACTAGTTATTTTGTCTTAATATATTTATTTTTGAACCTTTTTTTGCAAATATAGGAGATAGGAACTGTTCCACAGGAACTGTTTAATCCGTGAAACAATGAAGGGATGCGGTGGTTGTTCCTGTCCTCTGAAGATGCCGGCCACAGAGACTGGCGAAACGTTAGGAAGAACAACCTTCAGAACACGGCCAAAGAGCCCGAAAAACCTACAACCATCAGATCCCAGCCATGAAAGCCTTCGAGAATACAATGAAGGGATGGCTCCCCCGCCACCTCTGCTTCCCCCCTCAAGGCACACAAGATTTTTTTTTTCCTACACCTGGAATCCTTGGGAAGCCAGCAAGCTTGCTGGCATTTCCCTCTTACGTACGGATGACGCTGTTTTGGCTACGAAAGCTCCCCACTCGAGGAATTATTTCAAAATGGTGCCCAGCGCCCTCTCGAGGTGCCTCCCCCCTTAATTCTCCAGCCTCTTTATTACCCACAGGCATCTACGGCTCTCCGTTCGCTCCTTCCTATTGGCTGCGCTTGCCTTGGCGCCCAAGTCTGTTAATGTCGGACTGAACCAAATTCTTACAAGAGGGGGGAAGGAGAATGCCTTTTAGTCCATAATATGTGCTTTTTAAAAATGTGGGCTAATGCTATCTCAACCATGTGGAAAAGAACGCTCGGCTTCTGCTGTGTCTCCTTGAGGTTCTAGGTTTTCTGCGCCTTCCCCATCTCAGTTGCTCAGTGGTATGTTCCGCGGCGAACTGGAACCCTGTGGGGGGGGGGGAGAAGAGGCTTTGCAGCCATTTTGTGTGTGGTCGGGAGTGGGTGGGCGCCGTGCTGTGAAGAGGAGCTGCCGCCACCATGTATATCAAACAGGTATACGGGGGCTGGGCGGTGTATCTTCTTTGTTGTGGGGGAGCGACTTTTTCCAAGGGGGGGGAGAAGGTTCGTTCTTGGTTGGGAGGGGGGGTCAAGCGTCTGGGCTGGGGGCCGGAAGGGAAGAAGGGGCAACCTCGTTTCGCTTTCCCGTAAGGAGTGGTGGGTCAAGAAGAGGTGGCGCGTCTGCGTAGATGGGTGGCTTTTGTGGCGCTGAGGGTGAGGATGGCACCGTCGGTCTTCGGAGGGTCTCTCTCTCCACGGTATGGCCGGGCCTGTTCCAGGGGGTGCAGCTGCTCCTGCCTTGGCTGTGTCTCCTGCTGCTCTGAGTGGGGCCAGGGGCCCGTAGAAGTGGCGCCTCTTGCTCAGTTTCTGCGATGACAGGAGGAGGAGGAGAAGGGACGGAGAGGAGAGGAGAGCAGGTGATTCGCCCGGTCCCTCGGAGGCGGGCCTTTTGAGCCTACGTCCTGGAAGGATTGGCGGGGAAAGAAGGAAACACAAGGGTACTTACAACCCCCCCCTTTCCTGGGAAAGATCTTGTGGAGCCACTGGTCGTGAACTGGAATAGAGACGGCCTTGTGCTCCTCAGAATCAGTTGGATGACGGACCGTTCAATAGTTAGATTTACATCTTTTCCCCAGCCTTCAGCTCTCCTGTCGTTATAACCGTTGCAACAGAACTAGTGTGATAGAGTCAGTGTGTGTGGCTGGCCTAATAAGATCACCCAAGGAGTTTCATAGCTTAAGGAAGACTTGAACTTGGTTTTCTATCCTCCTGTCAGGCTTCTCTGATACAGCCCAAAGGAGGCCATGCTGTTTTCTTAAAGGTATTATTTCAGGCCTCTTTTTCAGAAGTAGGAGATGAAGGGGCAAGGCTTCCAATAGAAATAGGCTGTACCAATTTAGATTCCAGAGGAGGGTTGTGGGATTGAATGCCCCTACCCAAATTTCCTGCACAGAAATTACTAATTATGAGGGGAAATGGCTTTATTTTAGTTGTCTTGATATGTTAATTTTCTCTATGAAACGTTTTTGAGAGATGGAGGAAGATTCAATAATATCATACTTCACTTGTACTCTATTACAGTAGTGCACTGGTTCTTAACCTTGGGTTACTCAGGAGTTTTGGACTGCAACTCCCAGAAGCCTTCACCACCAACTGTGCTGGCTGGGGTTTCTGGGAGTTGCAGTTCAAAAACATCCGAGTAACAAAGGTTAAAAACCACTGCAGTAGTGTATTCCAAAAACTTGGTTCGCCACCTCATGTTACTTTTTGAGAACTGAGTCTACAGTCATTGATATGCTTTCCAAGGTTTGCATCCCATTGAAGACATTGAGACATAGGACCTGTCTAGATGGGTATATAGATAGCTATTTGGATCGCTTTTGGTATGATTTGATTTAAATCAAGTTACAACATCTGCACATATTTTAACTTAGAGCATTCCATCCCTACCCTTTTTAGAGCTATCTTGCTCCTTTCTAGTACAGTGGTGCCTCACATAGCGATCACTCCGTATAGCGATGAAATCGCTTTGCAGTGGACTTTTTGCCATCGCAAGAGCAATCGCTTTGTGATGGCCCCTATGGGGAAATTTCACTTTGCGATGATCGGAGAGAAGCGATCATCGCAAAGCACCCATTTTCGGCCAGCTGATCGGCGGTTCCAAAATGGCCGCCGGGTAAACAGAATGGCCGCCTGCTGTTTGCCTCACTTTAAAGGCACTGAAAATGGCCGCCGCAATGGAGGATTTTCGCATAAGGTTGGTTTTTAAGCACATAGGAACGCATTAAATGCATTTTAATGCGTTTCTATGGGATTTTTAAAATTGCTTAGCAATGAAATCGCTTAGCAGTGATTTTTGCTGCACCGATTAACATCGCTAAGCAAGGCACCACTGTACAGTGTTAGAGTTCTGTGTTTTTTTTTGTGTGTGTGCTTCAGTACACTCCTAATTATCCTGTTATGTAGCCCATGGAGATGTTTTTTTCCACACTAAGATAAAGCTATGTTATCAGATGACAACCTTGTGTGACATATTGGGTGGGTTGTGGCATTGAAAGAGATGATGGAGAACTCTCTCCTGCATTTTCATCTACTGTACTATTTTAAATGTTAAAAAATATATTCCTATTGGTGCAGCACTATTCTAGATAAATTGGTGGTATTATGAAGATTATATATTCCTCCCTTTTTTGCCATAGGATGGAAGTCAATTCCAATTCAGTTCCACAGCCAGTTCTACCCACACATAGACAGAGTTACTGAACAATTATTTCCTCCTTCCCTACCTTGCCTCTTTTTTTCTGTTGATTCGCTCACCTACCGCCCAACCCCAAGATAGATCATTTTTGGGAAAGAAGGAAGAGGAATTAATCTGTAAACAAACAAGTAAGAATATATGTCTATTCCTTGCAATAAATAGCAGCCCTCCAAAATTTTTATTTTAAGTCAAAGCTTCATATCAAATCTTTTTTGTGTTACACATTAATCTACCATGGTTCTAATACAAATGGAAAACCATTAAAGACAATGCAATCTATTGTAACTAAATTTAACATTTAAAGCTTCAGACTACTACAGTGATCAAAACCTTTTCTATAAAACAAAATTGAAATATACTGAACAGTCTGAGTACAGATTGAACATCAACAATTTGAACAGTAATTTTGCAAAATGCATCATAATTCATGCATAAGAAATGATTCCATAATGGGATCACCATGATCCACCTCATATCTATCATGCTTTCCTCTTACTTTCAAGTAACACACATAGGAGTTGATTCATCTCTGGTCATATATGATTTTAAACTACAGTGGTGCCTTGCAAGACGAAAATAATGTGTTCCGCGAGACCTGCCGTCTTGCGAAATTTTCATCTTGCGAGGTGAGTTTTCCCATAGGAATGCATTGAAATTTAATTGTGTTCCTATGGGGAAAAAACTCTGAAAAAGTGACTTACAAGGTACGGAGCTGGGGAGGCACCATCGGAGGACTGGCGGGATCCCCTGCAACTGCAGTCGCCATTTTCAGAGGCTCCCCGGTGGCCCTCTGATGGTGCTGGGCAAGACTTCCCCAGCACCATTTTTTAACTTCCTGCCCTTTTCCCATTCAGAGGCTTGCTGAGCACCATCAGAGGCAAGCCTCCGAACAGAAAAGGGCAGTAAGTTAAAAAATGGTGCTGGAGAAGTCTTCAGAGGTTTTCCCAGCTCCATCAGAGGACTGCTGGGGGAGCTTTGAAAGCGGTGATCGTGGTTGTGGGGGACCCCCGCCAGTCCTCCAGTGGTGCTTCCCCAGCTCCCTAACCGGTGACTTTTTCAGAGTTTTTTCCCCCAAAGGAACACATTAATTAAATTTCAGTGCATTCCTTTGGGAAAAAGTACCTCATAAGATGAAAATATCTTCGTTTTGCGGGGCACCAAAAAACTCGCAAGATGCTTTCGTCTTGCGAGTTTTTCGTTGCCTGAAGCATTTGTGAGGTACCACTGTATGGGCATTATGAACTTTTGGCTGAAGTCCAGTTCCAGACATTTTTATATAAGCAATTCACAGCAATACTTTTTCTTCATCACAAAATGACCTCCCCCCATTGTTTGGAGCTTATTTTGTTTCAGTGAACTGAGGGCCAGCACTTGATTGCGCACATTGAAATTATGGTGTCTTGCATAGGAACCACAATTGATAGACATTTTGGACCCATCTATCTGTCTGGATGTGTTTCACGTTTCTGCTGGCATAGCTCTCCATCGCTGGCCTGCTAGAGAAGAATGGGTTTTTCCTGCCTCTCTTCTACAACATCAAACTTGATGAATTGCATTCCTCTATCTTGCCATCCCCCTCTTGTTGTTTTTAAAAGTCTTCCTACCTTTAAAGTGAGAACAATCCGTTAGATACATTGCCGTGAATGAAAGGATTGCTCAAGTGAGAGATAAAATACATCACACTAAATATAAGAAAATTTTAAGTGGGAACCACACTGCTTCTTGGTAGGAAAGCAATCAGAAACCTAGACAACATCATAAAAAACAGAGACATCACCTTGCCAACAAAGGTCTGCATAGTCAAAGCTATGGTTTTTCCAGTAGCAATATATGGAAGCGAGAGCCGGACCATAAAGCTGACCACTGAAAAATTGATGCTTTTGAATTGTGCTGGAGGAGACTCTTGAGAGTCCTCTGGACTGCAAAGAGAACAAACCTATCAATTTTGAAGGAAATCAACCCTGAGTGCTCACTGGAAGGACAGAGCCTAAAACTGAGGCTCCAATGCTTTGGCCATCTCATGAGAAGAGAAGACTCCTGGAAAAGACCCTGCTGTTAGGAAAGTGTGAAGGCAAGAGGAGAAGGGGACGACAGAGGACGAGGTGGTTGGACAGTGTCATCGAAGCGACCAACATGAATTTGACCCAACTCCGGGAGGCAGTGGAAGACAGGAGGGCCTGCCGTGCTCTGGTCCATGGGGTCATGAAGAGTCTTAATGACTAAACAACAACAAACTGTCAGTGCCATTTTAACAATTAGTCAAGTTTAACATCCTCTTCCGAGTTTGTTATCATAGTTTCCAACTTGAGTTAGAATTTCTTTATAGTATACGTATACTGAAAGTGTTCTAATGTCCCTTGTTTTCCCATTCTGTCTGAACTGGGAATACAACAGTATGTTTAAAGGTGTAAAAATTATTTATTTGGGTTATGGGATCCTGAATGTGTGATCCTTATTTTTATACTTTCCCACTAAGATCGTGATCACTATGCCATTCTTATTCTCACATTTTTAATTTTCACAATAGTAAGCTTTTTTTCTGTGGAAGATTTAGTTTGCATGTTCTGTATGGTAGAGTTGACATGCATCTAGAATCTTTGATTTACTTTTACAGTGCCAGTGTTTTATATAGCTATACTTAGGAAAGCCAGGGATTGGAGCTGGTGCCTGTCAGAATCAATAAGGGTTTCTTTATTAGTTTTTCTTGCTTCTTGGGAGGTTAAGGAATGTTTGAAGCTATCAAATATTGTATTTTACTTATATTAAGCAAAAGCATTTTACAGTTTTTGTATAAAAATGACATGGGTATATCAAACCTTATGAAAGCGGTCTTCCATATGAATCCACGTTGTTTTTACTTGTCCAAGTTATCATGAGGAAGATACAGCTCTTGTAATAAAGCACATGTTTGGAAGGTCCCAGATTCCTGCTTTCCTGACTGGGATTGAGAGATCCCATAAGGATATTAGATGGCCACTGCTAGTTAGTGTAAGCTGTACTGAGCAGATTGAATCAAGGCTCTAATTTGGTTTAGGTCAGCGTATTGTATTCTTGCTAGCCTGCATGTTCATATACTGTATACCCATCTTCCTTATTTGTGGCACAAATAAGGAACATGGATATACAGTGGGGATCTGACAGGAGAAAAAATAAACTCTCTTCCTGTTTACAGAAGATTCCCTAGCCAGTCTATAGGTGATTCTTTCTTGTGACAGACTACTAGACTGTTTACAACTGTTTGCATCCTTTCTTAAGGATTTCTGGGAATATTTGCTTTGGCAGCAAAATTCAAAACAAGGCAAATAATTAATGTCATAAAGTTTTAGATTCAGCAATAAGTTATAATGTTTTCCATTCACTTTGATGGAACACACTTCTAAGTGGACTCAGATTCTCTGAGTGAAGGTGCAGTTTTTAGTAGGAAATCTATGGTTAATAAAAACCAGTCAACATGTACATTCCAGAAAAATATAACTAATGGAATTATGTTGCTTAAGAGGTGTGTGTCAAAGTAGATAATATATGGATCCATTTAAAAATATAATAGTAATTGCTAATTATTAGCTGACATCCTTTTGCTGTAAATTACATTCCATAAGGTTGATGATGTCAGCATTTTTTAAAGCTAAAAGATTTCTAATTTCTCTTCTGAGTTTCCCATAGAATTGCTTTCATTGCCAGGAAGCATGGAAGCAGTGGGATAGGAAGAGTAAGTCTTTAACTACAGAAAACTGCTGACACTGGGATAACTTTACCAACACCAGCTCCTGTTCCATAGCCCTTTATGGCTTCCCAGTGGTGAAGGGGATTCCATGATATCCCTGAGACCATCAGGAGAGAAATCAGAAATGTTTTAGTTTTGAAAAATACTTGTGGCTGATGGCATTCTTACGTGGCATTACTTATGCAGCGTAACATAACTCCTGGATTTATCTCAGAGCCTAGATGCTTGAATTTCAGCAATGGCCAGGAGTGAGTGTCTTTGCAGGATTAAACTAGTACAACAGCTGTGTCTGTTCCTGGAAAGGTCTGATCTGGCTATAATGACACGTTCCCTAGATACATTCCAGCTGGATTACTGTAACTCGCTCTATGTGGGGCTGCCTTTGAAAAGCGCTCAGAAACATCATTGGGTCCAAAATGCAGCAGCCAGACTGATAACTAGGACTGGCTAAAGGGATCATATAACCCCCTTGTTACAACAGCTCCTCTGGCTGTTGATCCATTTCGGGGCACAGTTCAAAATGTTGGTTATAGCTTATAAAGCCCTAAATGACTTGGGTCCAAGCTGTCTCAAGGTCTGTGCCTCTCGTTATGAGCCCACTTGGATGCTGGGGTCATCAGGGGAAGTCTTTCTGTCCCACTACCTTTGCAGGTGCATTGAAGGGACACAGGGCTTCTCTGTTGCTGCTCATAGACTTTCGGACTCTCTCCCATAGGAGGTCAGGCTTGCCCCATCTTAGCTGCCCTTCTGCAAGCAGGCAAAGACATTTCTCTTCAGGGAAGTTTTCCCTCATTAACTGGCTGTCTGAATTGGGGATTTAAATGCATGGTTGTACTTTACTAGTTTGAATGTATTTTGGTGTTGCTTTTGTTTACCATTTTCAGTGTGGTATTTGATCCTTTTTAGTATTGCATACTTATTGTTTTTAGCATCTAATATTGTATTTTAATGATGTAAACCACCTTGGATCATTTTAAAGGAGAAAGGTGGGGTAAAAAAATTAAATAAACATTTCACTCATTGTTTGGTGGCAGTATGCTGTATTTGTTGGAGAGTGTTCTCAAGAGCTGTCAGAATTTCACAGTCATTCTTTCCTGTTGTGTTTTTTTTTATTACCTGGGTTCTTCTCAGCAGATATAAAGAGATGTAATTAGTCCCTTCCTCTCTGTTTTCACTTTCTTCATATGGAGAGTAATGTGTCTGGAGAGGAAAAACTTGCTATCCTGCAGCCTGTAAATAGCTGGCAGCTGATAGCAACTGGCAGAGCTGGAGAGATTACAGCCAATTGGGGCTTGTCTTTCCAAGTAATATTTTCAGCAACCAAACAGGGTAAAGGAACAAGTCATTTAGTTATTCCGTTTATCAGGTATGATCTTACCATTCTTTCGGGCACTGGTTGTACTTTTCCAAGGTACAGTGTTGCAGGTTTATGGATCACAACAAGATGACACATAAAGTCTTGCTCCTAACCACCCTCACTAGAGTAGTGCTGTCCCTATTAGACCTTGGAAAAGAGGTTTTATTTTTTTGACTACAACTCCTGAAATCCTTCGGTCAGTATAACCAATAGCTTTTTGAAGCTCTGAGCATTTTATAATGAGACAAAGGTTGCTAATTTGGTAGTTAAGTGCTTGTAGCTTTGCTGGCATTGTGACTGAGGCAAAGTCGTGTGCCAGCTTTTACCAGTATGACAAACAACTGCCTAATCCTACCAACACCTGTGCATGGTTTCCTCTGTGTTATGCTAGTTTGGGTTAAGTCATGGTGTTTACTTTACTATTTGCACTCCATGACCAAGTCCAGTGGAAAAGACTGATTGGGGATGCACGAACACAGAACAATGAATTGCTTGTAGTTTTGTAATGCAGTGCATGTGTGAAAGTCTCACAGCTCTGTTGGGATTTTTCCAAAGATGAGTATCATCGTATTATAATTTGCTACAGCGCATTAGGTTTTTCCGTGGTGTGCCATTTTTAAAAAATCTGGATTCTCTTCCCCATCTATATTCCATATCTTGAAAGTTTGTGTTTTTTAAAAGTGCAGCTGTAAGATAATTGGCAATAAAAAGACTTAAGTAATAACATGCTCCAAAATAATGCAATTTTTTAACAAAGTGTGAAGAGCTATTTAACAGTGATATAATTCAGAAGGAAGTCCCATTGATTTAATTGGTATTCTTAGGTAAGATTATGTCCATACTTGTTAGTGAGGATGCTGCTTTAACAAGGCAGAACGTATTCCAACTAAATTTAGTATGACTGCATTATAAGAGACTACTGTATAGTAAAATTACCAGTAATTTTGTGTACTGGTACAGTAAATTCTTAGATTAGACCCCTTGCCAGAAAAAATCAAATACTAAAATTGTTGTGTGTGTATTAATTAAGGGTATTGTTAACGTGCAGAACCAACTGCATATTATTTTTTAGAACATGCTGATTGAATATGTGTTGACCTAAATGTGAAGGGGGAAAAAAGCTTTTGTTACAGATGTATCTTAATCAACAACAAAAATTACAAAGATTTGTGTACTGCACTGTGAGGAACATGATATATTGAGTAGAAGCAAACACTTGTTTTAATTCCTTCTGAGCAAATCAGTATTGTCTGGTTTAACCTCACTTACAGGGATCTAGGAGTTATTATTCATATATAATAAAGCATAGGGTTTTTTAAAACATTGTACAAAGATGAGAAAGGTTATAATCTTAATTTTCAGGCTTAAAAATCATGGTCTGGCAGCAAAGACAAAAGGCAAATCCAGTAATTAATTTTTCATAAAGTTATGTAAACATTTTAAAGGGCATTGTTGGTTAATGGAGATATGGAGGGATATCATGGTGGAAAATATGCACTCCCTATGTTTTACACCTAGCTGCTGGTATGGGTGTTCCACCTGCTGTTGCGGTGTTCCCTGGCCATTTTTACTTAATCTTGTGCTATTAGAAAATACAGAAATGTTTTCTGCTTCAAACACTAGTTCTAAAATCCGAAAATTATGATGTATCATCAGCTACTTAAATAAATAAGTTAATTGAAGGATTGTGTAAACTCAAAATTGTTTATTTCAGGTGATCATCCAGGGGTTTCGAAGCTACAGAGATCAGACTATAGTAGACCCCTTCAGTTCAAAGCATAATGTCATTGGTAAGTTTGTCTGACATAAAATCTGTGATGTTAAATACAGTACCATAGAATCATAGAATAGTGATGTTGGAAGGGCCATCAGGGCCATCCCTGTTCCATGCAGGAATACAACTCAAAGGGTAGCTGCCAAGTAGATGTCTAAGTTTCTCTTGAATGCCTCCAGGGGCAACTGGTTCCACCTTTCAAGGCAATTGGTTCCACTGCCTTACTGCTCTTAACAGTTAGGATGTTTTTCCTGATATTCATAGAAATCTGGCTATAATGAAATGTATATTATTTAAGTAAATATTTTAATAGCCATGATGAAAATATAGACACTTCAAAACACTGGGAATTGTTGTTCCTTTGATGTACAGTACTCAATAGTTTTTCCTTAAGGTTGTATAATCCTGTGGCTGTGGCTGTTTCCCTTGGATTTTCATAAGGGAATTTCCCCAATGTACCTATGTGCCTCCTCAAAAATTGTTACAAATAGTGTCTTCTACACCTTACTTCTCATTCTGTCTTCCCTCCTGTTCTCTCACATAGTTGTAACTCAGAATGTCTTTGTATCCTTACCAGAAGTTAAGGCAGACTCATAGAAATGTTAAGGAGTAGAGATGGGGGCATTCGTATACAAATATCCCCTCATAGCTGGACTTAATGAGGGGCTGTGGCAGGCCTATCCACTCACGCATCTGAGGGTTAGCAACTCAGCAGCGGTTCAGGGAGACTCATCCTCCCTCTCACTGCCTGAAGTGGCCAGCCGAGCAGGAAGAGGGCAGAGGATGAGTGAGGCTGCCACCACTGCCAGACGTGTGAGTGGACAGGCCAGCCGCAGGGGCCGGCCCCTCATTAAGTCCAGCTGCACGGAGGTATTCATATACTAATACCCCCGTCTCTATTAAGGAGTATCCAAGGCTCTCTATTAAGGGAGTATCCAAGACCATAAAGCTGACCACCGAAGAATTGATGGTTTTGAATTGTTGTGACACCTTGCATTTGTTACTAACTTACACTGTCAGGGTTAGAGTGGTAACAAGTTCGAGGGCAGAGTTACATGAACTTTAGTGTTACCTTGTTATCTGGGAAGAATATGAGAAGAGGTGGTAAAATTATCAAATTGAGAATTGGAGAAGGTCATCATAGAGAATATTTTATTAAAAAATAAATTTTCATAAACAAAATAAAACTGTCACTATAGTTTTCCATTTGTTTATACAGTACTCTGTTATTCAGTTTCAATGAGAAGTTAACTATCAAAAGAAAAATAAAACAGACCAAAAGAAGGGAATGAATAGGTTCCTCCTTTCTTTCCATCCTCCCGTGCAGGAGAGGAAGTGCACAGTGTTGTAGTTGTGCAGGTAGATCAGTGCAAAGCACCTTGTTCTTCTCCCTGTGGTAAACTATTCACTTGATGGCTCATGGTACTGGATCCTACTACAGATAGAGTAGATAGTTCTTGAGGCAGTCTGACCTATTTTCATTGATACATTTTTTCTCTCTGTATATTTAAGATAAAACTCCCAGTTTAAAAACATTTCATTCATGAAATCATGTATGATATAATTCTATATGTAATGCATATAAATTTCACTATTTATTTTTAGTGGGTAGAAATGGTTCCGGGAAAAGCAACTTTTTCTATGGTAAGTGAAAGCTTAAACATAATAGTCAAATATGATGGTTTACTGCCTGAAATTTTTATTTCTGTTCTTGATACAAACTTTTCCTAGATCAATATAATAGAAAAATAAAAGTGTATAAGTGTGGAGTTTCATAATATCTAATAATATCTCATAATATCTGCCCCTCAGTTGCAACAGTTTATTGCATTGCATATCTGAAAGAAAGAAATGAGCAGACAGTTCTTAGACTTTCTTCTAAGATAATAATACCTATTTTTATAAAATCAGTAGCTTCCCTGCTATGACAGCACATTTTTTCTTCAACTCTTCTCCAGTTTTTAATAGTACAGAATAGTAATTTCTAAACGGTGTGCCATAATGGAGCTGCTAATGTTCCACGACTAAAATTTATCGGTGGGTTCAAGTTACTGGCCCACAGAGGTTGCTAACGCTTCAATAAAGCAAAAACCTGCTTCGGGGCATATGATGCACCCAGAGGGTGAACCCACTCAACCCTTCCCCTCAATAGAAAAGTTGTCAATGAATAAGCAGAGATTATTTCCTTTTACCCATGCAACCCCCTATGCAGCCTCAAAAGCTTTTTCTAGAAAGCTGGCTGCTATCTAGGGGAACCTTCAGGGTTGATGAGCGGCTAAACTTGTACTACAGCTAAATGTTTAAATACTGTGTTTTTCTGTGTATAAGATACTACTTTTGTCTAAAATCTTTAGACTAGAAATTGAGGGTTTTCTTATACACAGAAGCAAGCAGAGGAGAGAGAAAAATGGCCCGTACCTTGCCTCTGTAAACAGGCTTCCTCCAATCAGAAGGCTTAGCTTCCTACAGTCAGGAGACTTAGCTTCCTCCAAACACGAGCCTTATGGAACTGACGTCAGCTGATGCTGAATGAACCAATTGGAACACACCTTGTTGGAAGTGGAGCATGTATTCGCTGCTCAGATACAACAGGGATGCGTTTCTGAACCCAGAGGCAGAATACTCAAAGCTAAGTTAAGATTTTTTAATTTTGGGTTGGGGGTGCATCTTATACACGGAAAAATTTAATAATTAGAAATTTCATGAAGAAATGTTTGCTTTAAGTAAAGCATAATTACAACAATCTTTGTTTCTTTGATCCTTTAAAAACTGTATTGAGGGATTATAGTCAATATAATTTAACTGAATTTTAAAACTTGGCAAATAAATCTTACTGTGTTTTCTTCATTACAGCAATTCAGTTTGTTCTCAGTGATGAATTCAGTCACCTTCGTCCTGAGCAAAGGCTGGCTTTGTTGCATGTAAGTGAAGATAGTATGTTTATATAGGCATATTGGTTGAAAATCTTAAAAAACCTGAGAAGAAATGTAATAGGTAAAAGTTCCTCTTGACAATTGTCCAGTCGTGTCCAACTCTAGGGGCAGTGCTCATCCCCGTTTCCAAGCTGTAGAGCCAGCGTTTGTCCGTAGACAGTTTCCATGGCCACGTGGCCAACGTGACTAGACATGGAAAGCTGTTACCTCCCCACCATAGTGGTACATATTTATCTACTCGCATTTTACATGCTTTTGAACTGCTAAAAAATCCAATAAAATCCAAGGTTTTATTTAGGATTTGAATTGGCAGTGTTTCTGGAGACAGAAATGAAAACTAGATGGAAAGCATTGGCTTGCTGCAGCTTTAGGAAGCCACTTTCCTCTGTGTTCTGCTCCCCAGCTAGGGAAATATGAAAGCCACCCACATTATCTCTGAAAGCTATCCTGTATTCACACATCTTCATCCATCCCATTCCCACACAAACCTGTCTGTATAGTCTATTTTCTTCTTTCCATTACTTTCGTCTCCCTTCTCCTCCTTTTCACTCATTGTCTCCTTTCCCCAACTGTTTTCGTTCCTGGTCAGTGCCTCCCATGCAGATCTTAAGGATTTTTAAACATAGCTCTTTTTGTAACTGATTACTTGCCTCTCTGTGTCAGGTTTTGAAGGGGTTGTTGTAGTCCATGAAGAGGGCTGTCTTCTCAGCTGTGCATACCTCTCCTTCCTCTTCCAGTCATGCTCTTGTTCATGAAACCTTGACTTTGAAAAAGCCTTCTTTGGCATAAGTGGAAGTTTCTGTAAAAGTCTGGTTGTTGCATGGACCAGGACAAAGGAGCCATGGTCTATAGGGGAAGACTTATAAATGGAGATTGCCTGTTCTGTCATTGAGTCAGCAGACCTCTTGTTTTGGGAACTTTAAATGGTTTCTCAGGAAAATCCATCTAGTCCTGGTCTTTCTTTATTAGAAGAACCTATTTTAGAATGCTAACGCAGAAACCTGTTGTAATTGTTTATTATCATTAACTGTAAGTTGACCCTGCCTGCTGTGAATCATCCAGATTTCTATTGGAAAATTCCAGACTGTAGTTTGCACTCCACTGACTTAAATTAAATTCCATAATGAAATAGTTAGCGTTTTCTTTCCCAATGATATAAAGATTTTTTTTATATCATACAAATAATTTAGCAAGCTTAAGTAATCTATTGAAATAGTCTGCCCGCAGAGATCTGCCTGGTTCCCTCACAGGGTGTTTTTAAGAGCAAATTTAAGACCTTGCTCTTTAAGCAGGCTTTCCCTCCTCTCATCACCTAATGACTGCCATTTTGAATTATATTGTCACACTTGTTTTTATTTTATTATATTGCTTTTACTTTTATGTCTTATTGCCCATAGTAGACTTCGGTCTAGATGGGCGTGGCACATATGTATGTATGAATGCATGAATGATTGATTGATTAATTAATTAAAATGAATGAATAAATAAATAAAAATACTTTCTAAGATACTGTACAGTCTGGGATATTTTATGAAATTGCAGCTTAAACATTTAGATTAATGTAAAACACATTCTGGGTGGTTTACAGAGTGTAAGATGAAGCATTTAGATTAATTAAAAAATCTGGTTTGGGGATGCAAAATATATAACTATCCTAAAAGTGCCCATGTACTTTGGATGGGTGGGACTGGTGAGTTTTTAAAAAATGTTTTTGAAAGTAAATGACGTTACAGGATATCGCGTGCCAAGAAATCCAAGGATTATATCACTGTGCATGTTGAAGGCTATGCTAGAGAATGGTGATATACAAATTGTTGTTATACTACTTACAACTACATTGCCCAGTTCAATCAGAATAAAAAGAGCTCAACAATAGTTGAATGGGTAAGGAAGGTGTGGGAAATCATCGTGATGTTTATATTTACCTATTTTAAAGGAGAATAAAATTGTTGGCAGAATATAAACTGGAATGGTGGAGATAGTGAAAATCGTTTCCCCTTAGTTTATTCATCTTGATATAAACATATTCTAGTTTATTGCTTGCCTTACCTAAAAGCATATATATATATAATTACTTTGCTCTGTTCTTTGTATTTTTGGCACATATATTTCTGGATTAATGGCTATTGTTGTGTATTTATATAATTAAAATATGTATTGTAATACTTGTGCTGAATTTGTTACCCTTTAGAATTTGGTACTGTTAATGTGTTTTTAATCCATTGACTTAATTGAAAATAAAACTGTATATTTTTTTAAAAAATGGATTAATACAACAAACTTGGTCTTTCTTAGGAAGGCACAGGTCCTCGTGTTATTTCTGCTTTTGTGGAAATTATTTTTGACAACTCAGACAACAGATTACCAGTAAGTTAAGTACATAAACATTTCATTTTCGTGCACCTTGCTGTGGTTTGCTTTAAATCCAGGTTGGAAAAAGTGTAGCCCAGACTGCTTGCGGCTCTCCTGAGTCTAGCTGCTGCACACCAACTCACACTTGGTGTAATTTTGCCATATTTTCCTCATTCATTCCTGTTTTAAGCTGAGAGACACTTTTTCCAAAATTGAATTGCTCGGAACAGTTCCGAGTAGTCAGAGAAATTGCTGAAATTGCTCCCTGCGGTCACTAGAGATTGTGAGAGGACTTTTTTACTTAAAAATATAATAATGAAAAAATGCATTGAGGATTGTGGGGGTGACAGATTTGGTCCAATCCTTCAAGTTTCTGGGGATGGGTGTATATGGCTCCTAGACCTCTGGGAGATGCCTACCACTGCTTTAAACTGAGGGGAAGATATTACAGTGAGGTCTCGACCTACGGAATTAATCCGTATTTAAACGGGGTCGGTAGGTCGAAAAGTCATCAAGTCGAAAATGCATTCGCCATAGGAATGCATTGAAAACCATTTAATCTGTACCTGGCCCAAGAACCCCCCCCCTAAAAAAATTACTAAAAATTACTAAAATTAATAAAAATTAAACTTACCTTTCTGAAGCCTTCCAGGGGTCTCCCGTTGCCACCATTGCTGCTGCCCGAGCCCTCTGAGGGCTTCTCCGCCGCTGCCAGAGGCCTCTTGGAGGTCCCACGCTGCCGCCATTGCTGCTGCTGGAGGCTTCTCGGAGGTGTCCCCCCCCCCCGCCAACGCAGGCTTTCCCAGGGTGGACTGGGCCTTCCGGGGTGAGATTTTGTGGAAGTGCCAGAAACCAGTTTGCTATCTGAGTCAGGTCTGCTTGTTAGTGGAGGAGTGAAGACAGGGGAGAGCAGGAAAAACCACCCCATACCCATTACAGTTTCCAAATGGACTCTCACACAGCCTGTAATGACATTTTAACATTTTCAAACTATACTTTTTAGAAAATCCAAACCACTTAATTTCCTCTCATGTAAAATCAGGTCGTGGGACTCTTGATTGTGATTGAGTTCTGCAAACACTAAAGTCAAAAGAAATCATCATAGTGCCAAGTAATTAGTGAGAATGGGTTAATAGTTCATCATTGCCATGGCCAGGAATAACAAATGATGAGGGAAACCTAGGTTTAAATAAATATCCGCAGCTTTAAAAATGATTCTGGTTCTCCTGAGTGGGCAAAATGTCTTGCCAGATTAACTTTTCATACGACATTTTTCGTCTCTCAGCCTTGGAGCTGACTGAAAACAACCATTCCCCGAAACTAGCAAGGGATTAACTAAACATTTTCACATTGCAGACCTAAAAGGCAGGGGTCGAGTCATATTTCATTGAGTATAGTTTGATAATAGTCTTTGTTACTCCTGGGAAATGGACTTCAGTCAAACACTTAAAGCCTTGTGGCGCAGTGGTTAAATCGCAGTAGAGTGGACCCTCGACTTACGGAATTAATCCGTATTGGAATGGTGGCCGCAGGTCAAAAATTCTGTAGGTCGAGGGGCCATTTCCAATAGGAATGCATTGAAAACACTGTAATCCGTAAAGGGCCCAAGAAAAAAATACCCCCCCAAAAATAAAAATAAATAGATCTTACCTGTCTGAAGCCTTCCAGGGGTCCCCTGCGGCCACCATTGCCACTGCCTGAGGCCTCTGAGGGCTTCCCTGAGGCCTCTTGGAGGTCCCCCACCCTGCCGACGCAGCTTTCCCAGGGTGGACCGGGCCTACCAGGGGATGGCTTCCAATGGTGGTGGGGAAGCCCTGGAAGGCATCTGGAGGCACGATCAGTGACCTACGGACTTGAAGAGGAAGGCAGGGAAAGTGCCAAATTTGAATTTGGCGCTTTCCCTGCCTCCCCCTTCTGGTCCGTAGGTCGATTCTCCAGCCGTTAAGTCGAAGTGAAACTTTGCGGCCGGAGAACTACGTAGGTCAAAAAGTACGTAAGTGGACCCGACCGTAAGTTGAGAATCCACTGTATTATCCAAGTTATCATTTGTGTCCAAATCATTAAGTCTCTGCTATTATGTTTTCTTGAGATTGATAAGGAAGAAGTATCTCTTCGCAGAGTCATTGGAGCAAAAAAGGACCAGTATTTCCTAGACAAGAAAATGGTGACGTAAGTGCTTGGCTGTTTTCTTCTGTTATCAAACCTAATTTAACAAATGTCTAACTGATACCTGAGTTATTTTCTGCTGGATCTTGAAAATCATGGAATTCAGTTTTCATCCCCCCCCCAAAAAAAAAGTTGAATGCTTTGTCTCTCATGTTTTTGTTCATATGACTTCAAACACTGCATAATGTATTTTTAAAGAACAGAAAAAAGAAAAAAACAATCTGATTATCTTCTGAATTTCCGCCAGCATTTGTTTTAGTTCATTTGTTGTAGAGCACTCGGACTTATTTGTAGCCATGCTTGGGGAAAACAATTGTTATAACTGTTTAGAAATTGTAAGAGACATTCATAATTACCTTCTGGCAGGTCCCTAATGACCGGCCATATGTAGTGGGAGTAATAGGATCTGAGGTGGTGATAAGTATCTGAGGGCTGCCCATAGTGGCAGTGGAAAAGGCATATTAAGGATTTTTGGTGACAGGCTTTGGATCCACTCCACGCACAACCTTCTTTATTCCCCCTACACAGTCCCAGAATCAGGGAAGAAAAATATGCCAATCCTGGAGCTGATATTCTCGCACCCCAGAATATCACTCTTAATTGGGCCCAATAGAAGGGAAGCATACGGCAAAAATAGGCTCTGTAAAGGAAGATGTTGATAGAAGGCTGTTCTCACTTCCATCCTCCTAATGAGAGTTCAGCATCACTTTGGAGTTGGTGGTTCCGCTACTGTATTTTCTACTTTCACATGCCCAGTAGGATTGCTATCCTAGATTGTAATTGTAAACGGATTTACAGATTATTTTAGAACTTGTTATTTTTTCCAGTTTTGCAGAAACAGTTTCTGTCGTGCTAAAAATCAGAAACTTTAAATAAAGATTCATATTAAGACATTGCATTTAAAAATATTCTTTGTTAAAGAATTGGTTTCATTTATAGTGGTCATGTCCAAGGATAAATATCTATTGGGGAACAAAAAAAGAAAGAATTGTAAAGGTCACAGAAAGCCAAATACCGGTATTTTGCATAGGACATGGTGGTCTCCTGTATAAAGATATAAACAGCATGTTCAGTTGGTGTTACAATTAACTGACAATAGTTCTACCCTAGATTTCAGGGAGTTGTTTTTCCAGGTTCTACACCAATGGTTTACTAAGTTTGAGGCCCAGTAAAAATGAGAACAACTGAGTAATAATGTGGTCATGAGATATTTCTGCTGTTTATATAGACCAGGGGTGTCCAACCTTTCACCTTCCCTGGGCCACATTAGAAGATGATACCTGAACATCCAATTGGTCAAAACAAACAGGAATTTCCACTAATGACACAGAAGCAGGAATGTGTTTTTTTCATGAGTTAACTAAAGAACGAGGAAGATACTGTATGTAGTTTTGTCAAGTAGAACGGGAATGTTCAAAACTTGAATTTAGCAGGGGTGTCGAGATATTTATAATGGACCCACAGAGATGGGGGCAGCCAGCCAGCCAATCGGTCAGAATAGAGTCGAAGTGGGGGCGGGTGATGGGCTCTTCTTCTCTGTGCCTCTCTGCCTCCCTTTCACACCTTTTCCAATCCTCTGGGGATCCATAGGTCACTTCTTCAAAATGTCATTCTATACAACACTGTGTGTGTGTGTGTGTGTGTGTGTGTGTGAGAGAGAGAGAGAGAGAGAGAGAGAGAGAGAGAGAGATCAGGAAAAAAGAGGCCAAACGGCACTGGAAGCAAAATGGATGGTGAAAAAAAAAGTTAACAAAGCCTCAGTTTAAAAAAGGATGGCTCTCTTCTCCCCCCAAAAAAAGGAATCCAAAAGGCCCCATGGCTATGCGTGGGGGAGAAATCTGTTGGTGTGGCGGTGTCACCTGGAGAGTCGGTCTGGAGGTGGAAAAAGGAGGGAGGGGGCAGGGAAGACAGAGGTGGGGAGAGAATAAAGTGGGGGAAGAGACTCAGTCCCTGCCTCTCCTTCCCTTTGGAACCCCTCCCCGAAGGAAGGAAAGCCAAAAAAGAAAAGGGGGGTCCTCCTTTTTCCACCCCCCAGTCAGATCATGAGCCCTCATGGAAGAAAGAGGGGGAGGGGGAGGAAAATGGGGAGTCCTTCTTTCCTTCCACGGGGAACAACCCAGGGTCCCTAGGGAGTTGGGTGGCCCTAATGTTCATTTTTTGAAATCCCCTCCAACCCACACAAACTCACACACACTCTCCTAATGAACTCGCCCACCTCCTTCCAGATCCTCCGGCGGGAAATGGCCAGGAAGACCATAGAGTTTGGGGAGAGAGAAAGAGGACAGCAGGCGCCCAGCTTCCGCTTCTACTCAAGGATGATTTACACCAGTGGGGCTTGGGGGAGGGAAGGGGGGAACAGAGACAGATAGAAAGGTAGGGGTGTGTGTGTGTGCGCGTGCGATTCAGTGAGTGAGTGAGAGGATTTGAGCTCCATAGCGTGCAGAAATATTCCCCCCACACGTCTCTTTCACAGGCAGACACAGTGTCTGTGTGTCTCTGTGTGTGAGATACACAGAGTGTGTGTTGGAGGGGAGACCGTTTCTGTGTGAAAGAGATAGTGTGTCTGTGTGTGAGAGTGTGTCTGTGTCTGCCTGTGAAAGAGACGTTTGGGGGGGGGGGGTCGTTCTGCACGCTATGGAGCTCAAATCCTCCGCGCTGTGCCAACCTCGCCCAAAGACAGAAAAGGTGGGAAGCAACAGAAGGGGACAAGTGGTTGCCGAAATGCCCTTCTCGGGTGTCAGGCGGCGCTTTGGGCTTCTTTTCCCTGCTGAGAAAGCAGTCATGCGCCTGGAGAGGCCGCCCTCCCTCGGAGCAGCGAAGCCCACCAAGCCTTGGCTGTTGCGCCTCTCAGACTAGGAGGACAGATGTGCAACCCAAGTAAACGAGCAGCCGCTGCCTGTTGCCCTTGGCTACACAAGCAGTTTCGGCGGGGTGGGTGCGTTGCTATGTGTACTGGGGGGGCAGCCCCCTCGCATCATCCGTTGCAAAACTCCGCCAGGGCGCTCCCAGCACCACTTCCTGGTCTCAGACGTGACTGAACCATAGAGCTACGGAAGGAATTTCTTAAAAAATAAAAAATTGTACTGGGCCGCATTACGAGCCGACCTGGGCTGCATGTGGCCCGCGGGCCGCGGGTTGGACAAGCCGGATAAAGACCCTTACATATACAGTGGTGCCTCGCACAACGAGTGCACCGTAGAGCGACGAATCTGCACAACGGGGCTGTTCTGCACACCGACGGCCCCTATGGCTCAAAATCGCAGAGCGAAGGTCGGTAAGTGGTTCGCTTACCGACCTTCGCTTTGCGACCCGCCGATCAGCTGTTCGGCGGGTCCAAAATGGCCGCCGGAAGCCCCAAACTGGCCGCGCGCAGCGTTTTCGCGCACTCGTTAAGCGAGGGGAGGGCGTGAAAATGGCTGCCGGCCATTGCGAAACATCGCTGTACGGTGAGTAAATCAGCCGATTGGAACACATTAAACTAAGTTTAATGCATTCCAATGGCTTTTTTCTTTCCATACAGCGATGTTTCACACAGCGAGGGTTAATCCGGAACGGATTAACCTTGCTGTGCGAGGCACCACTGTATGTACAGGGACTAAATAGCAAGAACCTTAAAGTGCTATTCTCTACAAAAACTAAAACAAACTCATTTTCATGTCTAGATATAAGGGAACCTGACTGTCTTTTTTCCCTCAGCAATGTTGTTTACTTTTATTTCATACTGTTAAAAGATTTATTGTTTGAAAATATACTTCTAGGAAGAATGATGTGATGAATCTTCTTGAAAGTGCTGGTTTTTCTCGCAGCAACCCTTACTACATTGTTAAACAAGGAAAGGTAAGAAGAGCTGGGGTTTTTATGCATTAAAATATCGATAATTTTAATGTGATGTCAGCAACAAACAAATTTTAATTTATGCTGCACTTTAAGCAGATATTAACCGTGTAATGATTGGTTGTTCACAATAAAGTAAGACGTCCCCATGAAATCTGATAAGTGCATAACTTTCCTTGCTAGTGTGCTCCATTGCTCTACCCTTTCCCTTCGGTTTATCTTAAAATAAGGATATTGACAATTTGAGTGTTGGAGCAGATAAAAATGGAATGTATCAAATCTTCTCTGAAGGATATTCGCCAGTTCAATAACAATTTCAGATGAAGTAAATTGCAAAAAATTGATAGGATTAAGTAAACCATACAGAATTGTTGTTAAACATATACAGTGGTGCCTCGCACAACGATTGCTTCATACAACGATGAATTCACACAGCGATGGGTTTTTTTGAGGAATTTCCCCCATCGTTTAACGATGTTCTCTATGGGGGAATTTCACTTAACGATGTCCCTTTTTGCTCATTTAAAAGTGTCTTAAAATGTTTGAAACCTGTTTTAAATGCTTGGATTCCATAGTGCACCTTGTGAAACATGTGCAAACTTAATTTGGTTTTGTTCTGAGTCTTCATTAATTTTTGGTGATTTTTTTATTTTCCCCATTTAAATCAATTGAATGGACAGTTCAAT